GCATTTGCAGGAAAGAAACACAATTTTCAATTTAGGATCAGTGAATACTGCGGTGTTCACACATGTGTCAATCCAATATTAGAGCAAGATCACAGTGGTGCATCTGCCTCTTACATAGCGCGGTTGATTATGCCAAAATTAAGGAAGAAGCTTGATCTAACGCCCGATAATATAATTGAGAAAGTGCTTGATACCAAGTTCATTAAAATCTCGTATATTAAAGCATGGAATGCAAGAAGAATTGCGATGACAAAAATATTTGGTGATTGGGACAAGTCTTACGCGACACTAGCTCAATATCTTGATGCGATCAAAAGAAGTAATCCTGGATCTGAATACAAACTCATAACCAAAGAGATCGATCCGGGAGTTCATCAATTCACCTCCGTTTTTTGGGTATTTGGGCCTTCTATTGAGGGGTTTAAATTTTGTCGGCCTATTCTTAGCATTGATGGCACACACTTATACGGTAAATACAAGGGTGTACTGCTTGTTGCTACAGGAGTTGATGCAGATGGTGGCTTATTTCCTTTGGCCTTCAGATCTCAAGTTTCAACTCGTTTCTTCGGCCGAAATTCAAATCAAAAGTTATCTTAAACTTCTTTAGGTAATTTCTTCTACTCCTCTCCTCTTTTAACATGTTGAAATCTAGGATTTTTTCTTAAAAATAAATTTCTAGGGTTTTCATTCATAAATGAATTTTGTGGGTTAGAGTTATCACTGAAATTCGTTTGTATGATGATTGTTATCGATGTAATTAACTTTTAGGGCATAGAATGTTCAATTGTTCAATTTTAGGGTTTAGGATTTACAATTTGGGAATTAGGGTTTTTGGTTGAAACTATATGAGATTATTTGCATATTAATTTAATTTTTTATATTTAAATGATATAATTTTCTTTTGAATAGGTTGAACAATATGATTTTTATTGCTTGTTCTTATGATGAACAAATTAATTATAGGATGAATAATATGCCAATGTACGTCGGAGGGGTAACGACGCCATTAATGATCTCAGAATCATATAGTTACTACGACTTGGTTATGGAATTACACCGAGTTACGGAAATTGACTCACAAGAATACCGACTGAAAATTATATGCAATTGGCCCATAGCTATTGATAGAACATCCGCAGTGGAGATCTCGAACGATTATCATATGAGTATTATGTTTAAATTGGGCAAGTCGCAACAAACGGTAGAATTGTTTATTGAAAAGTTGCCACATAATTCGTGCCAAATATTCAAACCTCCAGGAGAATTCTCACGCATGTTAGATATGGGAGTTCATTCCGATGGGTTTCTTTCTTCTTCGAATGAAATGGAGCGGGCTCAATTCAGTGGAACGTCAAATGTCATGAATAACGAAGTCTCTTATAGAAATATGAGGCTGTTAAGTGGGGCAACAATCAAAGAGGATGAAAGAAGCAATGACTCGGAAGGTGAAGAACAATATAGTGCACCAGTTGATAGCATGCAATTTGTTACCCAAGACGTCGAAGATAATCCGGAATGGTCTGATGAGGCTTACGTTAATAATGACTATGTTGAGTACGAAGAACCACCCCCCGATGAGTTTGAAGATGATGAGTGGATTCGTTCTTCCACAGTAAAAGATATGTGCATCGGTGAAAGTTCAACTCGTAGAGGAGATGATGACGCCCCCTTTAAAGTTGGTGATTTATTCGAGACTAAGGACCAATTGGTTGATGCTATTCGTGAATACTCTTTCGAAAAGAATTTCAAGTTCAAGCAAGTTAAAAGCAATCACACAAGTTATGATGCAATATGTTTTATAAACACGCAAAGAATAGGTCTGACCGAGGGAAATGAAGCTGATTACTCATGTCCTTGGAAGGTATATGCATTTGCAAAAAAGAAACACAATTTTCAATTTAGGATCAGTGAATACTATGGTGTTCACACATGTGTCAATCCAATATTAGAGCAAGATCACAGTGGTGCATCTGCCTCTTACATAGCGCGGTTGATTATGCCAAAATTAAGGAAGAAGCTTGATCTAACGCCTGATAATATAATTGAGAAAGTGCTTAATACCAAGTTCATTAAAATCTCGTATATTAAAGCATGGAATGTAAGGAGAATTGCGATGACAAAAATATTTGGTGATTGGGACAAGTCTTACGCGACACTACCTTAATATCTTGATGCGATCAAAAGAAGTAATCCTGGATCTGAATACAAACTCATAACCAAAGAGATCGATCCGGGAGTTCATTAATTCACCTCTGTTTTTTGGGTATTTGGACCTTCGATTGAGGGGTTTAAATTTTGTCGGCCTATTCTTAGCATTGATGGCACACACTTATATGGTAAATACAAGGGTGTACTGCTTGTTGCTATAGGAGTTGATGCAAATGGTGGCTTATTTCCTTTGGCCTTCGCCGTTGTGGAGATCGAGAACAATGAAAATTGTGAGTGGTTTTTTTCTTGCATTCAATTATATATTTTTAATGTGTTACCTCCTAGAAAAATTACTTTCATATCTGATAGGATGAAAGGTATTCCAAAAGCATTATGGAGGAGATTTGGCTCTCATCACCATCATCGCTATTGCTTACGACACATTAGAGCTAACTTCAAAAAGAGCTTTAGTCAGATTCATTTACAAAACCTTCTGTGGCAAGCGGGTTGTACGCCCGAAACATGTGTGTATGATCGGATACAGGATCAAATCAAGGCAACATCTCAAGCTGCACATGATTGGATTGAGAGTAGTCTGGGCAGTGATTACGTCGACCGGTGGGCACTTAGTAAAGATGGAGGGAATCAGTTTTGCATGATGACAACCAATTATTCTGAAAGCTTCAACGGGGTACTTAAGGGGGCTCGGGCAATGCCCATACAGGCGTTGGTTGCGAGGACATTTTACAGGCTCAATTACTATTTTGTCAAGCGACGAGAGGATGGAGCAATGTGGGCCTCGTTCTTAACACCAAAAAATGAGGCGATTTTAGGAGCTCGAGTTAAGCAGGCGAGGGGCACGAAGATTGTTAGATTTGCTGTAGATGAATGGGAGGTTACAGACAAACATGGTCACAATTACACCGTTAACTTGGGAGGTGCACATTGCACATGCACCTGTAACATACCAGAATTGTAAAAATTGCCTTGTTCACATGTTATAGCGGTTACGTCCAAGCAATCGGGGGGTGCAAATATTTCGTATTACACATACGCTTCTGAGTGGTATCAATCAAGCAACTATAGAGAGGCATATAAGCAGTGTTTCCACCCCGTACATGATAGTCGTTATTGGCCACACTATAACGGGCCGCATGTGGTGCCTCCAAGCTATAAGAGACAAGCCGGATGCCCGTGATCAGTACGATTAAAAGGTACGATGGATGAAGGCCAGGAAGGAGCTCTGAAAAAAAATAGATGTGGATATTGCAGACAAGCCGGGCATAGAAGATCTCATTGCCCGACCAATCCAAATAGATAGCAATTATGTGTACAATTTTATACATTTGTAATTTTATTCTAACTCATTTATAGATCAATGCATGGATCATCATTATATGTGCAGATATTTCAGTTATGGAGGTGGGTCCATTGACACATGATGTCCTTTCTGACCAAGAGCGCCACCGATCCGCGAAGATAGACGCTAGGGAGCTAAAGTGCATTTTTATTATTTTCAATTATATATAAATTTCAATGTAGTTGATTGTTACTGAACATTTGCACTGTTTACTACATGCAGGCCCTGAGTATTACTGTTGTTGATCATACCCGTGCACACTCTAGCTGGGAGTTGACGGATCCGCAGATACAGTATTATGTGCGTCAAGCCGGCTTTTTTGAGTGTTCACAACTTAAATGGGTAAGATTTGATTGGGCACTTTTGACGGCATTGGTTGAACGATGGATGCCCGAGATAAATACTTTCCACCTGCGCCAAGGAGAGGCGACGATTACCTTGCAGGATGTTGGGGTTATACTTGGCCACAGAGTAGATGGTGATGCAATGACGGGCACCGATGACTTCAACTATGTTAGGGCATATGAAGAATTGTTGGGTCACTGTCCTACAATGAAGGGGGGAAGATCAAGCTCGAATGGTTAAGGAATAACTTTATGAATGTACCGATCGATGCGACTGATGAGATCATTATGGTTAAGGAATAACTTTATGAATGTACCGATCGATGCGACTGATGAGATCATTAAGAGCTATGCCCGTGCATATATTTTACATATGATCAATGTACCGATCGATGCGACTGATGAGATCATTAAGAGCTATGCCCGTGCATATATTTTACATATGATCAGTACTATTCTGTTTTCGGATTCCACTAAGGATTCCGTGCACGTGAGATGGTTACCGCTTCTTGGGGACCTATTGGAGTGGGGAGAGTTATCTTGGGAGAGTGCATTGTTAGCCTACTTGTATAGGGAGATGACGAAAATAGCACTCGTACAAAACAAAGAATTGAAGGGCTGCCTCACTTTGCTGCAGATATGGTCATGTGAGCGATTGCATTTGGGAACACCTGATTTGAGGGAGGCCCGCGCTCTTGATGGTCATATTCCGTTAGGCTGCAGGTATTATTAAGATGCATGTAATTTTAGTGCTTTATTTCAATATATACTAACCCGTTGTATATAAAATAGATGGAATGTGTCCAGATCTTGACAAACCTCTCCAAAGGGGCATGAAAACTTTTAAAGAAACGAGCTTGATCAGATGGAGGATGAACATGTATAAAAATTATAATATCTAAATATATTCAATTATGGATCAGATGGAGGATGAACATGTATAAAAATTATAATATCTAAATATATTCAATTATGCGACCAATTGTTACCGATATCTAAATATATTCAATCAATATATCATAATATCTTCTTTATAGGTCAAATGGATGCCCTACAAGCTAGTGTTGGAGTCACTACCATATATTTGCCGGGAAGGTGAGGATGTATTGCATGCTCACATCCCACTTATATGCTTTGAGATTGTCGAAATGCACGTGCCTGCCCGTGTGCTTCGACAATTTGGACTACGACAACATATTCCAAGGCATGTGGAGAGAATAGAGAGAAATCCAAGAAAAGGTGCACATCATGCTAATTGGGAAGTAATTCGCCAAGATTACATCCAGAGGTGGGATTTAAGGGAGGAACAAGTAGTGATGGAGAGGGCTGATGCACCTGACCTAGGTGTGTACCTGCGGTGGTATTGGAGGATTACTCACCGGTGGATATTTCAGGAAAACAAAGCCCTGAAGGAGTACATACCAAGAGGCCCAGTCGAGAGAGAGTTGGTAAGTGTATAAGAAAAATATACAATTATTTTCTGAGTTTTATTTTCTCACCATCCACTTGATAATAATTTTCTTTCGGTTTTTATTTTATAGGTACAAGAGCTCGAAGAGCTTTCTACTATGGCACATGACGCATTGCGCATGACTACCGAGCAGGAGCTGAGGAACACGTTTCTTCGAATGATAAAAAAGTTACGGCCGGCTCTTCAGAGGACGCGTAATGCAAGTCGTGATGGACGGGAGGAGCGACCAATTGAGTACGGGTGGAGATGTCGACGAGGACACACGGAGGCGGGATCAATCCGTACGCATGATGAAGCTGGCGGCTCACAGCAGGCTCAGGCCGGATGTTCACAGGCGGTTCGAGTCGACGCGGATACCATGCGCTCCCAACTTCACACACAACCGGACGAGGAACTTATCCGAGCTCACGTTGAAGGTGATTGGGGAAGGGGGAGAGGAAGAAGAGGGAGAGGGAGAGGGAGAGGGAGAGGGAGGGGAAAGGGCGTTGTTGATATTTGTTAAGTTTCGATGGACTTGATAGGATGTTTGCGTTTGAGTTGCAATTTGGACTTGATATGTTGTTTGTGTTGCGATGGATTTGATATAATGTTAAGTTTGCGAATATGAATTGTACGTGTGATATTTGTGTTTGTGATTGCATTGTGGATTGATAACAGGAGTATGATTGCATTTTAGTATGTGTTATTTGTGATTACATTTGTACTACAGGAAGTATGAGTTTCCATGTGAATGTGGGCTGGAAGGAGGTCTGCAAAATGGTCGAGGTTGGGAACCCCGACCATTTTGTGCACCTACACTGGCCCTGCGTTTGGGCTCTGCTTAATAGTCGGGGTTGGGAACCCCGACCAATTCGTCCATTGGTTAAACTCAGCGGCGGCTGGGCTCTGCTAATTGGTCGGGGTTATGAACCCCGACCAATTCGAAATGGGATTATTTCGAATTGGTCGGGGTTCCCAACCCCGACCAATTAGTTAAGTGTTTCGTAGCGGATGGACTAAACAGTTAGTGTTGCTAACCCCGACTGTTTACGAGGCCGTTTAAAAAATAATCGACCCGCTTTCTCGTCACGGCGCTGACGTGACGAGAAACCGGGTCGATTCCGCTAAATAAAACTCAACAAGGTCGAATTCGGTAATAAAAAGTTAAAACAGACCTACAGTGAAAATTTCCTCTATAAAAAATTTTACAAAAATCGAGGATACTTTAGGATAACCCTTTTATATAAATATTAGAACATGTAAGTTTTAATTTTTATTTCATGCAATAATGCTAGTAATATCTAATAATGCTAAAGTTGACTTGTGAAGTGTGACCGTGACCCCCTCTATCCAAAAAGATACAACCTCCTCGAGTCGGAGGAGCCAGCGATCGCCGTCGAGGGATCTGATTCGAGTGCAAACCCTAACCCTAGCACTGATCCTAAGCCTAGCAGCCCTTGCAGCGTCATCACGATCACCGACGGCGCTTACGACGGCTGGTCGCCTTGCTTTAGGGATGATGACATCATGGAGCAGCAATCCGCCATTAAAGCCGTGGAGGCGGCGAAGATCCCTTACGTTGGTGATAAGGTGAGAGATCTGTGGAGTTTGATCCCTAATTTTAGGTTTTTTTTAGTTCTTGAATTGGATTTGGGTTATATCTTGATAATGGTGTAGAATTTTGACTGTCGGTAATTGTTTCATTTAGTAGTTTATTCAGTTTCCATCATTTTCTTAAATTAAGATGCAAGATTAACGGTAATCGAAGGATTTGAATCTTCTATTGTAAGAATAGTGAAATTATGGGCTTTGTGATCTTATCTTTTTGCTGCGGATATGGTGCTTGTTGATGAGATCGCATTGCATGTTGTTTGAATTGCAAATTTAGTTCGATAATGGAGGGTGTTCTCTGTCTCACTTGAGAAATATATGTTTCTGAAGGGACGCTAAAGAATTTCTAGTTTTTCAAATTCATGCAGTTGAAGTTTCCATAGGATCTCTGACCCAAAAGACACCAGTGCCATTTTTCTTGGAATCCAATTTATTTTATTTTATTTTGGAACACAGTTCCATTGCTTTTTAGAGAGTCTAAGCTCAAATTTCAAGGTTACCTCTTTTTCCACTATAAAATAGTATCACAAATCTTACTCTGTAGTCTTTATAGACGTAATTAAGTAAGACAACAAATCACGTTCGTTCCTCCACTTATCTTCACTTGTTAAACTGAATTTTTTATTGAGATCATGTTGTTCAACAGATCTTTATACTCAATTTTCTAAGGCTTTGCCCCCAAGGATCATCAGTTTGAATCCTTTTCCTTGCTTCTTGTAGGGTAGGTTATGCTCTTCCAAGTTCCAATAAGATCATCAAGAAACTCTAGCTTGATACTTTAAGTTGTTAATGTTTTTCCATTTGATATCAAACTCCAACAGTTCTTCAGAGCAGGCTTAAACTGGTCAAAGTTCATAATCCACTTGTAAATGGATTAGCAAATTGTTTGTAGTTTCCCGCTTGTTTTATCAATGAAAGCCGATATCTGTTTTTCTTAATCAAATAATTATTTAAGTTTGATGAATAAACAGATGAGCTTGGTTGCATCATTGTGTGTGAGATGCTGGGACTTATGTAAAGACTTGCATTTTTGTATTATCGGTAGCTGACAGAGTGAATGTAGATAATATGTGCATTTTTGACAATCTGTTAGCAGATGCGAGTGTTCTTACTTGTAACTGAAAAATGGTAACTTCTCCTTCAATTTAATGTGAGAAACTATGGATATTTATGATTAGTATTGTGGAGATTTTTGTTGATTTCTTTTGCGAATGATCAAGGAAGATATTCAGATCAATTTGCTATTCATCTTCAAATGCTGGTGTGTTCCTGCAGGTACAACATACTCCGGCCTTTGCATGAGCGACACATAACAATAATTTATCAAGACAATTGTCAACAGAGAACGTTGCTTTTTATAACAATTGTGTATTGACTGCTGAAATTTTGGAACCGAGATGGCATCTGCTATATAACGCTTCTTTGGTTGTTGATTCTTTTGTTCCTTTCTTTTAATTCTTTAAGTTTAGTATTTGGAACCCTGCCACAAACCTCAAAAAATTAAAGAAAACATGGTACTATTGATACTTAAGTAATAAATTGATTGAATATCCAGACTCATCTTGTGAGGATGAATGTGTGAAAATAATGGGTGTATGGTGTTGTAGGAGCCTCTCTCTTCCCTAGCTGCGGAGTTTCAGTCTGGCAGTCCAATCCTACAGGAGAAGATTAAGGTTTGTTGGAAAGTATTCAACAATTTTTCTGTTCATTTTTTCCTGTAGTGATTGTCAAAAATTTAATTTGGGGTAGATTTGTCACATATATTTGATTTCAACCTGCAGCTGATTGGTGAACAATATGCTGCTCTCAGACGAACAAGAGGAGATGGGAACTGTTTCTTCCGAAGCTTCATGTTCTCCTATCTGGTAAATAATATATTTATATCCATGTAATTCTTTTATTGTGTCATCTGGTGAATAGTCATTGCGGAACATGTTGCCAAGCTTATGAGAAATTTTTGTAATGCCTGAACATAGGAGCACATTCTAGAAACACAGGATAAAACTGAGGTTGAGAGGGTTACCATGAATATTGATCAGTGCAAGAAGACACTTCAGGGCCTTGGATATGCTGATTTTACCTTTGAGGATTTCTTTTCTGTAAGTCAAATCTTTTCGTTGTTTTCCCTTCTATGTTGCTTTTTCCTTTCATTTCTTTTTTCCTGGTTATTATGAATAATGGTACAAATACTTAACCAGTTGAGAATGTGATCTCCATATTTCTATTTTTTATGTATTATTGACTCGAGCAAAAGCAAAACGAACCCACATTTATTGATTAATTGACTCGAGTAAAAGCAAAACGAACCCGGATTGATTGATTAACATTGAATTCTCTCTGCGTAAAGGTGTTCATGTGTGTGACCAAGACATGCACAACTTCAGGTAGCCTGTACAAGTGAGAAAAAAATGCTGTTGCGATTTATATTCATGTGGATTTCTGAAGCTTTATGTCTGGTCACACCTATCTGTCATCTTATTGTACATACCGGAACTGAATCTGATGTGAGTATTCCAATGAGTTTGGGTCCTATTCAGGTCAATTTTTGAGCTTCCATTTTTTGGTACTTTTACCTGAATACAAACTGCCAAATATTGTATAGGTAACTAGAGAATCTAACCTATGAAAGACTTCTAGCAAACAGAGGTTTTTCAGAAAAGGTTGGTGTTTGGATCTGATATATAGACTGAACACGTGAAAAAGTTTAGTATGTTATAAAAGGCTTTGAACATAAAACCAACTTTAGAAGATCATTATCAGTCTATACCAAAACCATTCTGACAACCAACGCTATCTAATTCCTGCATGAAGTTACATTATGCTTATATAAGTATAAACAGGTTCATTCAGGCAAGATGTGCTTACGAGTTTAGGAGTGTGTGTAGTGTCTAGCTTTTCTAAAGAAAACAGAAGTTATTGATTAATAGTGAATAAATAGTCCAGGCTCACAAGAGTCCATATTCCATAAATAACAATAAAGTGACAGATTTATTGTCCAACAAATTTATTTTTCTTTAGGAATTAGCAAAATCTTATCCAAATTACTAGCCATCTCATCATTGGAAAATAAGAGGCCATAGTTTCCTTATGTACCCATTGAATTTCTTGCTGTTGAGAGGCCAGTAGTTTCCTTGTGTATCCACTGGATATCTTGCTGTTGAATCTAAATAATGCTATTCTTCAGCCATAACTGACAAGTATTAGGAGTCTCAAGCATCATTTTTATCCAATATGTTATGATGCAAGTAGTCGTAGTTTGAAGTATCAATGCTTCATAGCTATACCAGATCCTATTTCTTTCCCTTCTGGGTTTTCCCCCTTAATTAAAAAGATGCTTAAATCATTCTTTTCCATGGGACACCTTTATGTTCAGTTTTTTCTTTTCCAATTTGAGATCAAGGAAGAGAGGAATGGGGGAAGAAGAGGGGATGATAGCATTGTGGTCTTTGACAGAGCTGCCTCTTCATCAAAGGATGGAGAGGACGAGATGAGATTGAGGGTTTGCCAAACTGCTGACGGGGCAGAATTCAAGTTTCTTTCTAGGAAATTTGGTGGATAATTGATCTTCGCAAAAAAAAATATGACTTTAATTATTTAATTTTTAGAAAGTTTATCTGTTGTATAATGTAAGGGAAACTATCGTTTGCTTTAGAATGTGATGTAATACAAACTTATGAAAGTAAAATCATATCAATAGTGGAAGCAAGATAAGATAAAAATACATGAATATACCTAGCGTAATCATTTGGACTTTGAGGTGGCGATGCAGAGTATGTCATGGAGTATCATCAAAGAGTGAAAATTTCACAGAGTATATCGTTTTCTTCTGCTTGAATGTGATGCATTTCAGAAAAAGGTTAGGATGCAAAGACTTCAAAGAATTCTTAAAAAGCATAGTACAGTAACAGGTTGAAAATTTTGCGCCGAATTGGATATAGTTCTGATTGCTTAGGTTACTGTAAACTACATGTATGTTACCTATTAAGCATGGACATATGCATAATGAAATCATAAAAAAAGGAAACACACAGACACATGCACGAAGACATCAAGCTTTTGAGAAAATGAGGCACATGGGCACATTGTAAATTCACGTATATATATTCACGTGTTGCGTGCTTGCATGCATGTGGGTGTGTATAGGTTGCTTGGCTAGGACTGGGGTGACTGTGAGGGTGGAGGGGCTTGAGTGGATGGGTGGATTTGGAAGCAAATCTTTTCCATTCAAACTCAGGAATAGGAAAATCATGTACTGAGGATTTGGAAACAAATCCCTCCCATTCAAACTCAATATAGTAACTCGATATAGGAAAAGCAAGTTAAAAATCTACTCCATTTATGTTGATCAAAGTTGTTTGAAATATCTCAAATCCAAAAATCAAATATTTTACATATTCTTTTTGTTTATGCATTGGGTAGGTACAAATTGGCCTAATGAGGGAGGGAAGAATTTTTAAATGGTTATATCATGATTGAATGGTTGGTTTGAGAATTTGAATACTCAGAAGTCAGAATCATAGACCTAACCAATTTAGTATGTTCAGCCACATTTTTGCCACATTGATGCATGGGCAAAAAACCTTTAGCTCACATGTGTTGCATTCTTAAGCACGCTATGAAGATAAAATTCAAGGGAGTGGATCGTCTACTTAAAAGGTCTAATGAGTTTGAGACAAATCCAATTCCAAATTCTTCCGAAATATATTCATATAGGTATACTCCACGATGCCTCGTAATACCTAATGTTTGTGTGCTAATAATTGACTATAAGCAGTAATGTTGAAGGGGTGCATATCATTGTTTCAAATATTCCCGACATGGCCCGATTTATCCCCCGATATGTTATTGTACAGGGCTTGCTGCAATCGATATGATCTCAAAATATCTTTTACTACTTTTTGGCTATTTTAGGCGATATATCTCCAAATATATCAGCCGATATATTGACTGATATATCCTTTTATATGGCTTGTCATAAGACAACCTACTGTGTTTGGCAATTTTTGGGTGAGATATCATGATTTTCCCATTATATCGAGTGACATTTTGGCCCAAAAAATGAGACAGAATGTTGTAATGTTGATTTGTACTTTTGTTTGTTTTACAAGGTTCATTAGTGATCCTAAACATACATTTTTTACATTTTGTATGCTTAGATTTCATTAACTATGTTGAGATTATATTTTAGTGCATTATACTATATATGCAAATCCGTTATGGCATTCTGATACTTACAACATATCCCTGATATTTCTCCGATATCTACAATTCGATATGAATATTGGCCATCTGATATTTCCCCGATATCCACAATTCGATATGAAATATTGGCCATCCGATATTTCCCTGATATCCGACATTCAAAATCTTGGTGCATATGATACCTAAGTTGATCACACAAAGAACTAGTTTCCATTGGTTTTGGATTCAAAAATAAAATCTAGTTGCAAAATATTTTCAGATATTAATGCCTCGATTTGAAATCAGCCGAGTGAATGTTCTTCAGAGCAACACATAATTTGAGAAAGTGGAGGAAATTGGAGAATGCAGTTTGTAAATAACCCAGTGTAAAACATCCTAACAAAATTTTTACAGAGGGTATCCTTTTTGCTGTGCATAGATTGGTTGGTCACTAGGTATGTGTAACTTCACTAAATAGTGTGTAGTTAGTTAGTCATAAACTTTATTGAGAATTGATCTTATCAAATCTTGTAATACACTTATTGGTTTTGATTTATGTGAATAAGTTCCTTAATTCAGCATTTATACCAGGGTTCATACTTCTCCTTAAGACTTGTATGTGTAGAAACTTGTTTTGGGTAATAATCATAGGATATATCATGCTTAATGCTCTAACAGTCTCTAGGAATAATTGTAACTTAATGTTGTTTTAAGTTAATTAGGTTTTACAGATAACAACAATGAGCTCCAGGTTGTTCTCCACTTTACATGATCTCAAAATTGCCACTGAAACCTGCCTCTGTGTGTTTTTTTTGTTTTTTTTTGGGGGAGGGTGGGGGGGGGGGGGGAAGCGGGGGAAGCTGGGAATTCCTATATATAGACTTCTGTTGGATGCTACAAGATATGCGGAGCTTAAATGTTTAACTGCACATGATTGTAGCTGTTCCAGATGTGCATAACTTGTATTGTATTCTTCTGCACTATTGTAGGAGTCCAATCCCAATCACTCTGTAACTGCGTTCGTGATATTGTTATGGAGATGATGCTAAGAACCATGTAAAATCAGCTTTAAATTATGAGTATGCTTTTGGTGAACATCACCACTTCCTATCATTCAGTGTTAAAGGTGAGCCAGAAAGCAACATAATAGGGTCCTATATTGCTCAAGGAAAGAGGCCACTGCTTGAGCAAACTAAGGCTTGGAAGGCACTTGAAAAGGTGATCATCGGAGTGGAGCGAGGGACCAAATTTGTAAAAGAATGATTAGAACTATTTTGCAAAGGCTAAAAGTCCAATTAGTCCCCATGCTGGGGCTTCATTCTCAAATTGGTCCCTTCACTTCTTTTTCTCTCTCAACATAGATGTGAAATTAATCCTTTTTTATTTTTTTAAAAGATCTGTTAATTGCAAATTAAAATGACCATTCTACCCCTAAACCTATTGTTTCTTTTATTATTCTGGTCCTTAAGTGTTGCTTGGAAAGAATTACGTTGCTGTAGGGGAAAAAATTCCGATCCTTTGAGATGTCTACTTAAGTATGTATAGCATAGTAGGTCGTGAAATCTATGATCCAACCTAACTTTGTTCTTGTTTTATGTTGTAGTAGTAATTTCTGAGTTCCAATGATATAGGGCATAATAATTCTTCAAAATCTCTGTAATAACTAGAAACCTGAAGCAAAACCATCACATCTTTATGTCAGGCACTGTGCTAAGCATCATTGATGCAACAATCTAATCTAGTTGTATTACTTTTTAATCCAATTGTTTGTTAAAATATAGCATGATCGAGTTTCTTTGAAAGCTAGAGCCAGTTCTAATAATAGAATTCATTTCACATGATAATCTACTAAACTATAAGCAAAGTAAATTTTGATAAATCTCGGGTCCATGGAAGATATAGGCCTACGTCATAGAGTATGGTAAAAGGTTTTATTTAATGTATTTGGATCATTACAGACCATAATCCATCGCAATTCAAGGAAATTAAGTATATCTACTGCAGTGATATCTATAAAGTTTTCTAGCTGACAAATGTAGAGGTCTTCTATGCAAAATCTTTTATGTTGGGAGGAGGAATGAATCAACTTCCGCAATCTCTCAGTTTCTTCTTTTAATATTCTTATAACATCGTAAAAATGTTGTTTATATAGTATGTCAAAGTTTGAGATGTTATAACAATCACTTGGTTATGCTGTGGTAAGAGAAGAAATTCTCACTGAAACTGGAGAATTTTAGCCCATTTAAAGTTCTCAGTATGTATCATTGTGTTTGGAACAAATAATTCGTACAAATATTTGTTTCCTGTAACTCATGATCGAAAACAAAGCAATGGTTGCCCCCATCAAATACAATGAATGTGCATTCAATTGCTGTTGTCGTTGAAAACACCTTTAAGGTTGCATTTGGCAACAAGAGTTGGGGAGTAAGTAATTGAAGATATTTGAAGGTTTTGTGTATAGGTCATTTGCGGAGTTGAAGGTTTACTATTATTATTTTATTTAATGAGGAGCGTAATATTTTTTTTCGTAAAGGATTAGAAGTCTTTTTTTTCTAAAGGAACATAATTTTTTTTGTGAGGAACGAAATTTATTAAGGAACCGTAAAGAATTAACAATAAAAGAAAGCGATAGGTTTAGGGGTAGAATATTCCTGTTAGTCTGTATTTAACGGACCTTTTAACAGAAAGTTAAAATAGGACTAAATTTAGCATCTAACAAGGGGTACGGGGACTAAATTGAGGAAAAAAGAAGAAGAGGGGACCGATTTTGAGAATGAACCCATAGTACAGGGACTAAATTGGACTTTTAGCCTTTACAAATGGCATTTAGCCTACAACATGTATGCAAAGAAAGAGATCATTAACAATATAATACCATTGAGGCATATGGTCATAAACATACCAAAATATATTGTAGACACAATCACAAAAACATAAACTCTAAGCTATCAATAAAAGAAAAACATAAAAGACACTCTTGTTATTGGAGCAATTCAGATTCTACTGAAGTCAAACATTCCATCAAAGGACTAAGAATCAATCCATGTATTCAATAGAATTCAATTGAATTCAGTCCATCTATACAATTGAGTTCAGTCCATGGAATGTATGTACTTGATGATTGTCCAATGTCCATCTATTCAATTGAATGCAGTCCATGAGATGGATGTACTAGACGATCAATCCATCTATTCAATTGAATTCAATATATGAGATGAATGTGGTTGACTCAAGTTTATACACTTGGCTTAGTATCTCAGATTGCCTCGCACAGACGTGTAACCTTGAAGTCACTGCTAGCATTAGTTAAAAGCCTTCCTCATGTACTGTTCTTTGTGCTCAAAACGTTCTGCGTTTCAGAACAGATTAAAAGCTTTATGGTGCTTCTAGACTAATATTTGTATTCCAAATATCTTGATAATCATGTAACGACACCTTTGTCATGGCATCAAACACCGACATCACTAGTTTTTTATTGATACATATGGCATAGTTGCACCCAATCTGTTTATTTGATGAACTTAGGTTTTCCTGTTCCTCTGGGAATTGCTTCATTATCCGAATAATTCCAACACTAAATACTTCAAATTTTCAAACCTTTCAAGTTTAAATTTTGTTATTAACACTTGTAAAGTTTTTATCCTTGTCTTTCTCCAAGTAATTGATAAAATATTTTGTCCTTGCTTACCTTGATTGATTATGATCCTAATTTTTTGAAATTACATGACATATTTGTTAATTTCATATTATTTTCAGATATTCTTCGAGCAGCTTGAAAGTGTTTTGCAAGGGACGGAAACTTCCATTAGGTATTATATTTTCGCTGACTTTTGTTTTATCATCATAATTCTTAAAGTTTCCATCATCATTAGTCTTTTTAGTTACTGGAAGATTGTGTCTGACACGAATTAATTGCTCGAGTATTTCAGCCATGAAGAGCTTCTGCAAAGGAGCCGCGACCAGAGTGTTTCAGACTATGGTGAGCTAACTTTTGACTTTATTTATTTTTATTCACGCCTCTGCAAGTTTTCTGCTAATATGGTTTTGTGGCTAGTTGTCATGTTCTTCAGATTTGTTACTTCTGGTGAAATTCGCAGACGGTCTGATTTCTTTGAACCATTTATTGTTGGATTAACAAATTCAACTGTGGACCAGGTTTGTTTTGTTTTTCTCCTTTTGATTTAGAAATTATTATTTTTCCTTCGTCTTCTGTGCTCTTAAAATATATTATTATGGTAATAGCAATATTTTTCTCAATATCTACATTATCCCTCCTTTTACATAATATGGAACTGTTATTAGTATAATTATACCTTCTGGTGCCAACTTCCACATCTATTGTTTATGTCAAGCTCCTCCTTTATGCCTAGTTTCATTGGCTAGAGCAACAATTTAGAGAGTTTGGGTCAGTTAGCAGTTTCTCTCAGTCTTGTAAAAATATTTTGTGGACCCATCTGTTCCATAGCTGATCCCATTTTGACAAAGCTTTTGTGCTGCTGCTGATGGATTCTTCTTTTGCTATTGATTGTTGGCCTTATTTGAAGACTTAATGATAGACTTAATGATATAAATAATTTCATAAACATGGGAACTTTCTACAGTATTCTGCTGCTACTATGTTAAGTGTACAGCAATGCTACGACTATAAGTTTCATGTTACTTTAAAAGTTGATGCAACTTGTGAATTTAAAGATAAGAGGGCTCATCAACTTCTGAAGAGTTGAAAAGTTACATGTTCTTTGTAGTGTGGCAGACTGGTATAAATTGCTACTGAAGCATATAGACCCGTGGCTTGAGGACTTCTCCTCCACTCTCTCATTATCCTATTGAATGCTGGATTAGCAATTTCTCTTGGTAGACATTAACTCAAGTCTATTATACTTCACATTTTCTACACAAGGACATGTTTTAGCAGGGTGGCACACTTACTAGACATTATATAGTTTTCATAGGCGATAGTATAATTGCATGAGAGGTTTCTCCAGTTCAGCTGAGCCACGTCAGCACCATGACTAACATATATTCCTCCACACTTGTCTTCAATACTCTACCTCTTATGTAGGATGAGACTTTTGACTTTTGAGACTTTCATGAACTCGGTATTTATCAAGCTCGGTTTCAAATAGCTAAAAGAAGAGCGTACTGGGTAAGGGAAGGTAAACTCTAAAGGGGTTAGCAGCTGCTAAAACTGGATGGGTATTTAATTATAAAAAAATGAAGTTGGTAGAATATACGATTACAATTATATATACACATGCAATGCATACATTTGCATAAATATATCATTTAAACAGGTTTGAAATATAGCAAAGGGAAAGCATAAGAAGTCTTTGTTTTCTTATTCACAAATCAGAGCCCAACAACTATGAATTTTTTTAAAATTTTGAAAGAGATAATATAACAGATACAATATGCAAGAGTGCATTGAAAATTAAAAAGCTAAGAAGAACGTAAAGGGAGAATAGAGTGGAAAGTACCATGGTGGTGTTCCCTCCCTATCTGCTGTTCAGGTGAGTGGAGTGAGGGGAGATAGTGAAAAGGGAAGGAAAGAGGGGCTACGATGCAAGGGTTGAGTGGAGCAGCAAGAGACGGACGGGGACCAGACAGAGAAGGGGACATAATTACATATACTATTGGATAAAAATGTTGTAACACATACACATTATGTGTCACCTGTGTAGCACATAGGGCATAATCAAATTACTTTTCAATGTTGAGACGGTTGCTCACTTGCTCCCTTGTGATCTCTTTTTTTTGACTCATACTCGATGCCTCTCTCTCTCTCTCTCTCTCTCTCTCTCTCTCTCTCTCTCACTCAAAGCTCATTCTCCATGCTATTCTTTTAATGTACACAGTTTCTTCTTAGATATGTTTTATTATTCTTAAGATTACTGATTTTGATTTGTTGCTTCATGTTGCAGTCTCATTACAATTTTATAATTCTAATGGTTGGTATATTGTTAGACATTGGCTGACATTCCATTTCATTCATTTAATGCATGGGGCTTTACATATATTTTCTCCATTTTCTCTGTTCTTTCCTCCAATTCTTAACCTTGTTACTCAACTATGACTTATTTACTCGACGGTTCCTTTTCAATTCGAGTTTTTTTTAATTCTATTCAATTATGAGTTGATACAAGAGTTTCTTAAGGCTCACATTTATGCTACTTGAATTTCTGATCCCTCTCGTTTCCTTTATGACATTGCCATTCTAATCCTTGTTATCTTGGTTTATATAAGTTCTGCAAGGCTTCGGTTGAGCCCATGGGTGAAGAGAGTGACCATGTGCACATCACCGCATTGTCGGATGCCCTAGGTGTGCCAATAAGGGTGGTGTACCTTGACCGCAGCTCCTGCGAAGCAGGAGTTCTGACTGTCAATCATCATGACTTCATCCCCTCTGTGGCGCACCCAAATCCTCTTGCATCAGAACAAGGTGCTGATGCCTCCACTGCCGAAACAACAGAGAACAGTCCCCCACCAAAGCCCTTTGTTACCTTGTTGTACCGTCCTGGCCATTATGACATTCTTTACCCAAAGTGACTCTTACCATCTACTGGTTGGTATCTATGTATGTATGTTGTATGTGTGTACCAATATATGTATTCATTTATGTGTATATATTTGAATTACTCATTTACATGGACCTCTGTAGGCTGCCAAAGGTGGATCGGTTTGATGGGAAGAGCTACAGAAGCGAGATGCATGGCAAGAGCAAGGAGGCTGGAGGTTCTTGCTTTTTTGTTGTTTCATGGAGGCTGCAAGCATGGATCTCGCGTGTCTTTTCGAATTGCAGTTTGCTTGCAAAACATTGTGCTTAAAGGGACAGAAATGGTGGTAACATTTGAGACAATGCAAAATGTTGATACCTTCTACTTTTCTGGACATGACATACTTTCACCATGTATCGCCATAATTTTGCATACTATGGACAGTTTGCATTTCACTTGACTTCCCTTGCTATCTTTCTTCTTCTTCTTCTTCCGTCTTATTCATCTCAGTTTGTCTTGTATACAAGGGCAAATCCTTTTGTATGGAATTTGCTTGGTTCGAGAATTGCTGCTGGTCGAACTGGTGTGCCATGAGCTAATCATGCTGGATAAGTAATGCTGGTTGAAGTAAGTAAATTCTAAGCTTTCCTTTTGATCTGATGATGACGGGATTTATTATTATTCCTCTTTCTAGAAATGAAAAGAATAGGAAAAACTCACAGAACAGTACGATGTATTGCTGTCAGATAGCCAGTATATCCATGGTCGCTTGTGTGTATCTCATATTTTGTGTGTGTGTGTGTGTGGGGGGGGGGGGGGGGGTGTGGGGGGTGGCTCGGTTTGAAAGCTGTTGGCTGAAGCCACCTAGCCGAAAAAAAAAAAGCACTTGGATCAAGACCCGGCCTGAACCATGATGGGCCCAACCGAGTGTGTGATATACCCAGTCCTTGTGTTGGGTGGGTTCCGCTTTAACCCGCAGACAAAGTATGCTGACCCCCCCCCTAGACTCGGGCCATGTCCGGCCCAGCCCGTCTTAGGTAATAGTTACATTTTGATAATTTTAATTTTAGTAGCAATTCAATTGAAAATATCAACCTCTAGGTGTTTGTATTGTAATTTTAGCAATAATAGAGATTTTCGAAGATCTATTTAGTATTTTGATGAATATTTCTGATCATGTTGATTTACTAAAAACACTCAAATTACTATGAATCTTTTGTCCTTTGAGATAATTCCATAATTAGTTATAAATTTATAGGGTTTAGAATTTTCAGAAAGATAAAACACAAGTTTTTCTCTTTACGCTATACATACTAATCTAGCAAAAAATTTGAAAAGGGAAAAAAAAGTTAAAGTACGACCGACCAGCGACCCGAACAGCCATCGGTTGTATTGGACCTAGCCATCGGTTGTATTGGACCTGGCCTGACCCCATGCGGGCCGAGCTGAGTCTAGCCCTAGATCCGGGGATAAATGTCCTAGGCTTGGCTTGCTGAGGCTCACCTAGGCCTAGGTCTGAACCGTCCTGGACCCAAAATTGGTGCTAGTTCATAGCTCAGGCCTATGCCCCCCCTAATCATAGGTTCAACTAAGTAGTGAACTTGTTCAGAGGGAGTTGCCTCTCATTCATAAGAGACGAGACATCATAAACTAAAGGTATTTCGTGATTTATCTAGAAAACTAGGGACTTGTTTGGCAACTTGCCCACTAACTTAGATAATGATTTAAAATGTGTTTGGCACAAAATTATACAAGATTGGACTAGTTGTTTTCTTCGTTCAAAACGATGGTCCTTACCTTTGTTATTTTTGGACCACTTTCACCTTGGTTTAATCATAACCTGGTTAACGCCTTAACCGGATTAGTGTGAAGTTGCCAAACACACCCTATAACTTTACTCATATAACTACAAATAGGATGAGGAAAAATTAGCCTATGGAATTAAATATGCATGCAAGCGATATCAACCTTTAAAGCATTGAACTTTATCATTCATGTACTAATCTAAAGGTTAACATTCATGGGATGCACATTTAATGTCATGAACCGTCTCCGTTGAATACTTTCTCCTGGTAAAAGTTCATTGTATTAGCTTTGTAACTTCCATGCGTATCAGATGAAAACATTCCACTCTCAGGGTATCAGATATAAACAAAGAAATAGAGCCCCACTTCTTTTGTTAGTTCAGTGTAAAGGGGTGAGACTGCTACATTCCATGAGAAAGAAAAAGGGAAGAAGGCAGAACCACTTAAAAGAGGAATAGAAATATCTCGGAACTCGATTGTATAATCTAAAAATAGCAAACGATGAATTGGCCTTTCAAGATTACGACCCACATCCTTATTCAGAGATTTAAAGGTACAAAGTCCTCAGCCTGGAACTCTGACATGAACAGACTCAAAATCTCGGACAACATCATCCATATTTGAAACTGACAAACGAGATATCTTGCACACGAGTATTTCTAAGCGATAAATATGGCAATTATTATAAACAAGAAAAAAATCACAGCTATAAAGCTAATAACAAAACACAAATCTCCATGTTAAGTTATAAAACATACAACAAAACTTCATTATATATAAAACAACTCTGCAAAAGACAGGCACAACACTTCTATACAAACATCGGAACATAATTCTCAAACACTCCCTCTTAACTCTAAAAAAGAAAAATTAGCAACTCCCCACATGGGATTTGTGGAGCCAAAAAAGACAAATTAATTAAAAAAAATGAAGAAGAAGAAAACAACATAGGAGGCCTCCCCTACCTGGGGCCGCTGCACAAGAACGAAAAACGGGCGAAAACCTGAGAACAAAAAGAAGAGATAAGCCTCTGTCAATCAGCTCTTCCTCTTAGCCTTTGTCAATCAGCTCTTCCTCCTCCGAACTCCTGTACATATTTGCATCTCATACAGTTCACCCAAAATCTCAAAAACCTCTTCCTCCCACCCAAATTACAGCTTATACACAGCCAAAGGAAAATTGGAAGAGAATCTTCAGTTGAACCTGTTGACATACATACCGGTCTCTGCATAGGAAAGACTAAGCAGAACCCGATGAAGAGCCTGGGTTCGAGGATTCATCCCCTGAAGAGTCTGATGGACTCCCATGGTGAATTTCAGTGCTTGTCCTGGATCGCCTTGATCGGATATTGACACCCACAGGGAAAGGTTCCTGCAAAAGATAACAAATTAGCAAGACATTTCCCTCTGAAACTGGTCAGCATGGTAACTGCAGCTTATGTAATGTGTTTTTAATTACATTGAGGACATCGAAGCCAGGCATTTTGTTAAAATACCAAATGAGGCATGACTAGTTGGCAGAGCCTTTTTTTCTGCATGATAATCATGACGAGAGATTAAAAGTTGCACTGCATTCTTTGACACACTCAATTCTTTTTTTTTTCTCTCCCTACTGATGGTTTTGCAGCATGACGTTAGCTCTCAGACAGTTATTATGGAAGTCTTAGGTGGAATAAGAAAGAAGCTTCTCCTATAAAGCTCAGGGAAAAGTTGGTGACTGGTGCAGTCATAAAATCACGACATCACTAGTGCAGTGCATGGCAGTTTTTCTTCACTAGTCTAATTACTGAGAAACCCAAGGATCGAAGATGGATCAAAGGAGGTACAATTGATTCGCTGCTTAAAAATATGCATTATATACCTTCCCCTGCTTCAACTAACTAGATGAAGAGAACAGTCATCACTGAACGCTAGATTTGTTCTAACTTTTAGTTTGGATGATGTTGATGTCGTATCTGTAGTAAGAAATTAATTGGTAAAGTTTTACCATCCGTCCTCCAACATGAACAAAATGCAACCAGTGTGCAGCAACAAGCTTCAAGTGGAGGCTGGGTGCTTCAACTTTATAGTTTCATGGAATCATGGATAACTTAAAAGGAAGCTACAGGATATAGAAAGTATGCACATTATCAGATGATTGCTGTCGTCTTGGAGAATCAATTCAAGTAGAATGATACAGTGGATATTGTAGTAAGGGAAAAAAGCTTCTCAGAAGATGCTCTTTATTGAATACGCTTCAATACATTAAAGGTAGCGTATAAAAAAGATCTCAACTTTAAGAGTAGGTGCGATGGATATATGCAAGGCTTTATTCAAGCTGATTTGATATCCACGCCCGAAAACAGTATAAGAAAGCGAGGATCTTGCTAGAGAAGACATAAAGTGGATCAGGACAAAAAGAGAGCTGTTATGTTTCTATAATATTTTTTTCAGAGGCTCCTTGTTCTTTAACAGCTTAAGCTAGTCAAACCAAGACCCGGCACTAAATGGTTCTCCTGATCTAAAAGATTTACATGATAGAATGCACATGAATTTTGCATTTATCACTCGAAAGAAACATAAAATCTTTAAGTTGAATAAAGTTTAACGAGTGAAAATTTGAACCTGATCTCCCGCATTTGGACCATCTGAATGGAAAATAATAGGACGACACCGTTTATCCTCATTCATCAAACTCGAGTTTTGGAAATGAGCAATAAGAGCTGATTTCCCCTGGATACGAGCATATGCAAGATATGCTACTTTTTCACTGTTGAACTTTTCCCACTTTTTACCATTGAAAACCTGAAAAAGACAAGACTGGAATCTTTAAGAAGCTAATTTTAGAGTACAAGAAAGGAGGCATGTTTTTTCTGCTTCAAAATATCATGTTTATTAATAAAGCTATTTCATATGAATAAAATATAGCATGGTCACATAGAACCAAAACACCTTTTATTCCAATTTTTTGCGATCAGCATCAAAATTTTAGAATGCTATACATAAATTGGTCAGCATCACAATTTTAGAATTCTATACATAAATTGTCCGTGTAGTAGAAACGATAGGGACAGGAGACTAGGATGTCCATTTCACTTTTTAGGATGTCATGAGAGATAATCAGATAAATTGAAAGAAAACTCCTAATTAACGGGGAATATGAAGGAACATAACCTGATAAAATGGGATAATATGGTGTGGATCAGTCATGTTGATAAAGGCATATCCCACATTACATTTGTTCTGAGAAGAAAATAGAAGAAAAATAGTTAATGAATCAATAAATCTGATGGAACATAGATTTCCCACCGACAACAAACAAGGCTTTTTGTTCCCTGGATAGCTTATTTACCTTAAAGTCTATAGGCAAGTAGATAAAATCATAAGTTCCTTTGTGTTGCTCATCAATAGTAGCCAGAAGCATCTTGGAAGTGTACCTGAAAACCAGTTATGGAACATTTAGACAAACCAGAATACAAATATAATAGCTGGAATAAAAAATGACCAATTATAAGGGACCCATCTTATTACTTGTTAGGAATGTTTTTGATCATTAGTGTGGTTCGTGAGTCTTCTCCTCGAATAATGCGGTCAATGTCAAGCTCATATTGCTTTCTGCTATCTGCCTGATTACCACTTGAACCGTTTCTTTGGCTTCTCATGCGCTCATGAGAAATATCATTGAAGTTGGGTGTTGGATTCACATTGTTCCTTCCACGAATCATGTGGCTCCTTTGCTGAGGTGAGGTGACCGCTACATGTGCAGAGGCCGCAGAAGGGCCAATACAGTTTCCTCCAGCATGATGAAATATCTTATGAGAAGCAAGTTCCAATGGAGAGAAACTAGGGTATCCTGTAGTACCAAGAGAATTTGGATGGAATACAGTAGCGTCCCCAGTAAAAGAACGTCTACGGTTCCAGAGAAAGGGTTCCACATTTGGAGCTGAACCAACATGCTGATAAGGTGATACAGACTCTGCTATGTGAGATGGTGCTCTGGTAAGCACATGCGGTTGGTGAGATTGGACAGGAATACTGTCCATGAATGGTGACAAGTTTTTCCACGCCATAGAACTAGGGTGATGAAGATATCTAGAATTATTCCAAATATATCCATGGCTATCAACAGGGCAACTTCCATTTGTGGAAACATTGAATGCTGCAAGAAAGATAAAACAATCATATATAAAACAATGATATATGAGAATCTGCTCCAAGTGTCATAGAAAATCTTGATAGCAGTTTACTTCATTTTACTTACTAGCTTCACTGTGTTCAAAAGAATGGCTGATACTGCCACCAGAACAAACTCTACTGACGTTTCTACTGTCAACTCCATTAGTAAGTGCGGAGCTGGCATTCATAGCCACTGCTGACATGGTGCCTGGGGAGTTGAAAGAGAGACCACTAGTTATCCCATCATGGGGAATGGTTGACATGCTTTGAAAACGAAGGTTCATCTGCTCCAACGAAACATTGACTGGAGAGGATAAATTACGAGGGGCACTAGAAGGGTCCGCATGAAACTTGGAACACATATTTGATCTATTCTGCATTGCGCTTGCAGTGTGCAGCCCGTGGATAGCCCCAGTATGAAGACCACTGGAATTGTTTACTCCATTTGTCATTGGTCCAGAAGGAACTGGCATGCAAAATATAATGTCAAAATAAACATGGCATATATATACAAAAATTTAAATAAAAAAGACCAACCTACAATTACTACCTATATATGTGTGTGTATCATTTTAGACCTCGGTCAGTTAAGGTAGAAAGCTAAATACTAATACATTATTAGTTAATTGAAGAAGTATAATCAGCCATATCTGCAGTACCACAGGCAGAAAGTGAGAGAAATAAAAAAGTGTTTCGGCTCAAACTTATATCGCAGTTAGATTCTTGCCCTTTGACCCTAAGAAAAATAAGATATGGATAATAAGAACACCAAAGCCTTGGATAAAGTAACTCAGTTACCGTACCAAAGCACTCTGAAGGCAACATCTGAGAATTACTTTCTTGTATGCATCCGATTGAATCTTCCTCCTCCATGTCCATGGATAACTGTTGCATCAAACTGCAAACAAAGAATTTCATCAGCAAATAAATATAGCAGAAAAAATAAAATCATATAGGTCGAGACAAAGTTAAAAATGAACAAATTAAAAGCAGATGAATTGTTTTCTAAACTACAACTGAAAAAGCACAGCATATTTGTTTGAATTTCCAAGATTAAGGAGGTATACAAAAAGGATATGCCTGGAACTGTAGTTGACCTCCACAAAATAATCACTAAAGTATATCTATAAAACATTTGACACTGGGCTCAGAATTTATGAAATCACTTAGGTTATCTTCAATTGGCGCCCACAAACTTGAAGGGGATAAATTATAAGTGATGTATATGACCATTTGTGCATTATGGATCATAATATTGAACAATGAAGAAACAATATCTATTATATGTATAGTTGAACCATAATGCTGAAGTAGACGATGCAAACACTAGCAGATAAGAAATGACTGCATCTGTAAGAAGTCTAAAATGCTAAATTCACAAAAATAAGATGCCGATTGAGGCTGTGGGAGAATCATTTGAGATGGTTGTGAGATGTGCAGTGGAGTCGTGATTAAGGAGTGGTACAATGCCTTATAAAAGGATACATGTATGTAGCTTGGCCCAGATTTTGGTGCAGGCTTTGTTGCTGTAGTTGTTTAATTTTCATTGTATTTTCAGTTGCCAGCCTAAACCTACTCTGTAACTGTCAAATTCTCTGCATCATAAACTTACAATCTTTTCAGGCCATCTTTTCTATCTTTTGTCACTTACTGTTTGGTTGCCTCCCCT